TATTCAAATGACGGAACTAAACAAAAAAGGGGATACAGATGAATGTCCATTTTGTATCTGTGTAATCAAAATGGTTAGGATAGGTATATAGTTACATTCGCTTAACGAATAGAGGGATTTGTTCTAATAGTGTTTGTAAATAGGATATCATGTCTGCATCTTGTACAGCAAATAACCACTAGGAAGAATGTATACAATGTGTTAATTATTGAAACTGGCCTACCAATTTGTTTTTTTTGTTGTTGTTGTTGTTGTTGCTCGAATGCCGTCAGGGCACTTTTGGCCAGTGGGAGAGGTGAGAGGTTCGAACTCCAGCAACCTGAGGCTGACAGCTTTGTGGAAGCAGCCACTTAAAGGCCTGAGCTAGGGCCAGGCCCCCTGGCCTACCAATTTGATTTGAAACTGTCTCATTGCTATTTGTTTCTCAATAAAATTATGAAAAAAAAAATAATGTTCTACTACTAATAGCTTAGAATGCACAGGTAAATAATAACCGCATCTGTGTTTTACTTTTATTAAGAATAAAGAAAAAGGTCAACACATTTGATCAAACACACATATGTTAAAGGCATATTGTGGTTTTTTGGAAGACTTCAAACAATATAGGAAAATGTATAGAAATCACCTAGGAAAGCATTTTAACAAAGATCGTTTTTATCCTTCAAACACTGTATAACAGTATAAATTTTCCTTTGTAAGAATGAAAGAAGAAATGAGTAAAAGCCATTGGGAAAAAATATGAATCATGTTATATCACGTACAGGTACAAATTCCCTACCTGTATATGTGATCATATACAGTGATGTGATCATTATGTATGTCTAAAATGTACCAATAGGCTTAATTTTTTAAAATAGTTAGAATCACACATCAGACCTAACCCCCGAACACATTAAGAATTAGTATTTACTGTGGTTTATTCGGGTCAATATCAAAACTAGGTTTGCTTCATGCTTTTTTCCTAAGATTTCAAATAGTAAAGAGAACAATCACATCCGTTTGTGCTAACTTCAATATTATATAATCTTTATACCTGAGTGCTAATTTCAAAAGAAATAAAGCATCCTAGATTTTTTTCCATATGGCAGAGTTCAGAAAAGAGGAGAAAAGTCCTATTTTACCTCTGTTCTGTACTTGCTTTTCATGAACTTGCTTTGAACTTTTACATTTATCATTCCAGTTTTCATTAAAAAGCTCAGTGAGTCACCATCTCTTATACAGAATTAGAGACATGGATAATGCAAAAATAATCTCCAGGTGAAATGAACACTAGGAGGAGGTTGAAACTCCTACATCCTAAAAAAGATTTGGGAGTTTTTCTCAAGTCAAAAGGAAACATAAAAGCTTAACAAATGGTTTACATAAAACATGGTAACAAAGTACACAGATGCTAGTTAACATTATCTCAAAAGACTGGTGAAACAGGAACATAATTCTTTGAAGGTATTATTTTATTTTCATTTCGTGACCATCTCATCCTATTATATCTGTACCTTGCTGGAAATCAAAAGCAGAAAGATCATAACAGACCCATTTATCACTTAAGGATCACCAAGATTAGTGATTTTATTATAGTAATAGATTATCCAGTATTTGAAAACGCAAGTCTACTAAACACTGTTGTCTAACAGTCCCATTTATAACAACATACAAACAAGCACTTATAGCTTGTCATCATCCCAATGCTCACTCACTTCTAGAGTGGGCACCTGGTTAGTGCAGGCCCAATTCTGTGTACACCAAGTTTAAAGGATCCCATAAAGTGACCAGGTTCCCTTCAGGGCTCCTGCAAGAAAGCTAAATTAGGCTGACTGAGTCCTGCTGTATTTTCAAGGCTGCTCTCTAAGCCTACTGAGTCTCTGAATCATCCTAGAAGTAAGAGTGATAATTTAAGGGTTTCGGTCATTCACATCTATTCCACTGAGCACCTTCTAGGTGTTAAATACTCTGCAAGGCTAGAGATTCAGAACAAATACCATTCAGTTTGCTGTATCAAGCCTGCACAATAGCAAACTTCACTGAGTACCCTGAAGGTAAGCTGCATCTCTTCTCTTGTAAATTTTTTTCTCAGGGCTTCTTGTCCCAGTTCATCCTCTCCCTCTCCTCCTACCTCCTACTGATCCTACTCCTTACAGCATTCAGACTGTTACTTGGCCCTCCCACACTGGGTTCAATGCCTCTGTTAAATTCTTTTAACAGCACCTAATGCTTACATTACTGCAGAGGAAGTAGTTTTAACTATTACTGATTTTCTAACCACTCTTCATCCCTGATCTTCTGTACTACCCATGCACTCGGGAGCCCTGTCTGCTCTGTCTTAGTGCCTGGCACCCATAATGCCTACATCACTGCTAGTATTCAAAATATACTTTTTTTTTTCTTTTTCTTTCCATAATTTTACTGAGAGACAAATAGCAATGAAACAGTTTCAAATCAAATTGGTAGGACAGTCTCAATAACTAACACATTGTATATTCTCTTCCTAGTGGTTATTTGCTGTACAAGATGCAGACATGATATCCTATTTACAAACACTATTAGAACAAATCCCTCTATTCGTTAAGAGAATGTAACTATATACCTATCCTAACCATTTTGATTACACAGATACAAAATGGACATTCATCTGTATCCCCTTTTTTGTTTAGTTCCATCATTTGAATATTATAAGTGTGTTAACTCAGC